GGTTTTTTTAATACTTAAAGAAACTTTTCTTTTTCTTATATAATTTTCAAAACTTTTTACTACCTGTGATAGTGAATCTAAAGAACACTACTTTGGAGTCTTTAGATCAATTCCGCTCATCGGCATTAACATGAGTTTAGTTAAAAAATTTTGAAAAAATACCTTTATTTACTATAGATCTTAGTTCTAATCGGTGCTGACGTATATTAACTATATATAGTTGTTAAAATACAATATTTTAATCAACTTTCACAAAAAATTCTGGAATTCCGACCAATAAAGTGCTTATAATTAAGAAAAATTGCCAATAAACGATCATATTTTAAAGTATAATGTTTATTTTACCTAAAAAACGTATTTATTTAAAATCTTATTCAAATTTGGACGAGCGATTGCGATTTTAAAATAATTAAAAAAAAAGTATTATTAATTTTAGGGATCGTTTTACTCATGCCAAATGTATATATGTAAGTGTGTGTGCGTATGTATGTCTGTGTGTATATGTATGTGTGTATATATATGTATGTATATGTATGTATGTGTGTATGTATGTACGCATGTATGTATGTATGTATGTATGTATGTATGTATGTATGTATGTATGTATGTATGTATGTATGTATGTATGTATGTATGTATGTATGTATTTATATATGTATGTATGTATGTATTTATATATGTATGTATGTATGTATGTATGTATGTGTGCATATATGAATCTGTGCATGTATGTATTTATTTATGTATGTAATTATGCGTGTATGTATGTAATATGTATTTATGTGTTTTATTTGTATATGTCTATGTGTTTACTTGTGTTCATACAAATGTTCTATATGCACATATGATGTTATGTATGTTTATACAGCTAAGTGACTGGTATGACTTTTATAACTAACCTACTTGTCTAAAACGGCTGAAATTGTTCAAAGTTGCTGCTCGTGGGTCAAAGAAGAACTTTTACAAATCACCAAGTGGAAAATATTTATCATATGACAATAAAAATCTTTTAATTAAAATTCGACACTCATGATACTTGAAATAAAAAAAAAAAAAAAAAACATAAATTTAATCTATTCAATAATGTAATTACAAAGGTGTTTTACAATTGTTGGAGAAAAGAATATTTTTTAAGAAAAATGAAAAATTCGTCGTAAAAATTAAGACCTACTGAAAAGAAGAAGTCGCATTGTATGAGTATCAACTTTTATTGACGCGTCAAACTTTTGCGGTTCTCATGACAAGACCTTCGAAGTCTTTTTCTTCTTTGAGTTTCCACGTTCTTTATTTTTATTTACTTTCTATCATTATTTTAAAATAATCTTTAATTGTAAACTTTTTAGCTTTATATATTTGTATAAAAATTTTCATGTAAGAACAAAAAAAAAAAAAAATAATAAAATAAAATCTGTGGTCTGAGTTTTTTCGCTACAAAAATTTATATTTTATGATACCGCAAAATTTATCATTTTAATATTTTTCGTCTTTTCATAATTCACAGACCTGACCATTTAACGCAAATATGTTGTAATCAACCAAATATCATGCAGACGCTATAATATTTTAAAAGCCCCTTAACACACTGAGTAAGCAGTTTTGAGGTATTTAATGTAAATCTCAATAGAAATGCTTATTTTTATAACATTTATTTTAATATTTTAAAAAAATGTTTTTATTTGAAAAATCTTTATAAATAGTATTAAAAAACACAAGCGGAAAAATATTTTTTACAAACTTTTTTATAAAAAACCTTTCATAACTTTGTTTAGAGAAGTTTTATATTTGATTTTGTTTCGCAAGCTCAGTTTTTAATGAAAAATGTTGCTTTTTTATTATTATTAAATTGTAGAATTAGAATAATACTTTCAATTTACAATAAGTGTCTAAACTTTCAAATAAACTGTTTAAAGCTGATTTGTAATTAAGTTATTAAAACCCAGATATTTTTAAAATAAATGACCTTTATGACATGACCCTCGGTGTTTAAAATAAGTTACAACACGAACATTGGAAAACTAGCAATCTTTTCCATGTTGAGCGAAACAAACAAATACGAACGTTTTTAACTCGTACAACCTCAAATCTTCAACGATTTCGATTTTACTAAGATTTAACAGTAAAATATATTTTAAAAAGAGTTATTTTGATCAAATTCGTTGAAAATTTTGTTTGGAGCCTGGTAAAATAGTAGTTTTACTTTTTGTTTTTTTGTCGCCCTTAAAAACTGCGTATTTTACAGATTTGTCCTTAAGTACATCAAGTAGTCAATAAAGTATATCATTGGATTAAAATCAAATGAAAGCAATATGTGGAAAATAAAACTGCGCCGAGTATTTCAAGGATTTATTCTAAGCTTGCTTCTATAGACAATCAACACAACTTAAAAAACTTTACAAAAACATGCTTGCAAAATTAAATAAGCAAAAAACGGGACTACACTAAACCTTTAATGAAAGACATGAAAAAGGTGAACTTACGCGAAATAAATATTTACTAACATTTAAATATTATGTATAATATACCGAGTATATATTTTGTATAACAAAAACTTTTTTTCTAAAAGCTTTATTAGAAAAAATATAATAAAAATCTAAATAAAAAATATAATTTAGCAACTTATAATCAATTTAAAAAAAATTTAGATATACAAAATAAAGAAAGACATTTGGGTTATAATTTGTAATTTCCATAGGTTCACCTTATAAAAAAACAGATTAACGTTGATTTAAAAGTAACTAAAAACTTTAATTACTTTTCCAAAACCACCATGCACATTTAATCAAGGGTCACCCAGCATGATCCATAATTGCTGGGTTCCGCACGCTGGGTCCCAAATATCAACAAAAAAATCTCTAAACTATACGAACCAAAATTTTATAAAAATTTATAAATTAAAATAATCTTTTAGTTACCAACTTTTGTAATAGATGAAGTTTGGTTTGAACTTTTCAAATTTTATTATACACATTTAAGTTTAATTTAAACAGATAATACTTTTGTTACACCTTAATATTGATCATTTTACTGCATAGTTTTAAAATTTATTTTGCAATTTGTCATATATTAGTTTTTATTCTGTTTTATAAATTAAAATGATCAAAAATAAACATGATCAAAACAACAAATGAATACTCTTAATCAAAAGCTTTAAAAGTTAATAAAGACTTTTAATAAAATGTCAAAAGTTTTCCAATAGTATAATATATATAATATTTAGGTCTTCTCTATGCAATTGATAAAATAGAAACATGATACATAGTTTTGAATACTTCTGTTTATAGAGTATATAGAGTTACATATGTAAAATGATTAACTCTAAATTACAACTGTTAGGCGTGTTTACATTTTTCTCTCCCTCTCTTTTGGGAGAGATTAACAACTCTCTCTTATTTTGAGGGGGTTACAAAATTTAATCAAGGTATAATTTTTGAACACTAGGAGATTATTTATGAATTTTAAAATTCTTGGATGAATATAAATTTAGTTGTATTTTAAAGTATTTTATCATATTGTTGCTCTGATGTCAAAATTTTTTTAGGGCTTTTTAGTTCCCACACTCCACCCATTGCAATTTTTTGCAAAGCATCCGTAACTTTTTTTTTTTTAAAGTTAACTAAGGTGCCCCAAGAAGGCCTCACGGTCTTATCACAGAGCACCGCGGAAGAGCATTTAATAGGAAGTTCACCTTCCCAACCGATGTCACAAAACTTGCCCAGAGGTGGGGTTTGAACCACGGATCTTACGCTTCTGAGGCAAGTATGCTAGCACTGCGCTACATAAAACATAGAAAGTTTTGGAAACAAGACCGCTTCCCCTAATTGACAATAATATAAAAATATAAATGTTTGGAATTTGCTACATGTCTGAAAGTTAGCTTTCTCAAACATAAAAAAAAGCTACATCCACCCCGAATATATATATATATATATATATATATATATATATATATATATATATATATATATATATATATAAATATATATATATATATATATAAATATATATATATATATATAAATATATATATATATATATAAATATATATATATATATATATATATATATATAAATATATATATATATATATATATAAATATATATATATATATATATATATATATATATATATATATATATATATATATATATATATATATATATATTACAATCTTTTACAATCTTTTTAACCACTAATATTTATAATAATATCATAATAAAATACATTATTCAATTATTATTAATAATAATAATAATAATAATAATAATAATAATAATAATAATAGTAATATTATAACAACAACAACAACAACAAAAAATCAAAAAAGATAAATATATAAAAAAGTTATGTTGATATTAGTTATACTAGTAACCAGCTAGTTAAAAAGCTTATTTAATAGAATTTAAATTTTCATCTAACCACAACTTTGCTTCAACAATGATCGTTTCATTTACCACTACTTTTTTGGTCCTAATATTGTCTTAATTGGTCCTATAAAATGTCTGTGATTTTGTTAGGATCTTGTAAATGATAGTAGGTATACAAACACACATTCGTTTATTTTATCTATCTGTAGATAACATTTGTTAAACTATTTGATCAATTATAACTTAATTGCAAACTGAAAAATAGAGACATGTTGTAAAGCTAATCTTTTTTAACATTGCTCTATTTTGCAGTTAGATAATTAAAACATCTTTTAAAACTGATATCACTATAAGCAACGACAATATTTTAAGTTTGCTTAACTGATTTATAAATAGAAGTAGATCAAATAAAAGTAGATGATAATTTAACAAAAAGGAATGGTTATATGTTTGAACTGTTTAAATGAAAATTTTTGAACACATTTAGCTATTCAGTGGGTACGGACGTAAAAAAGGCGTCTTTCAAACGTTTTATACACGTTTTGAACGTCTTTTGAATGTTTTGGACGCCTTTTGAACGTTCAAAAGACGTCTTTTTTGATCCAGTGCCCACTGGATATTTAAAAATACTGATTAGATAACATTTAGCTATTTAAAAATAATGATAACAACAAAATTAACAAACTACTGCTTTTTAAAAAACGCTCAATTTTTTTGTTTGCGATTTGACGTTAAGTTTTTGTTCGATTTGTTTTTCATCGTTAAGTAGCTCGTTTATTTGTCGCTCTGTTATTGCAATATTCTGTATTATGGTTCGATTTAAAGGCGTCTCGCTATCATAAAAGATAAAAAATACAAAATTATTAAATATACAAATAAAATCATTATACAACAAGAAAAAAATTAAAAAAAAAAAGTGAATAAGCATTTATCTATCATCTAACAATCTATTTTTGTTGTCAGTCAATAAAATTAAGGGTTAGTGCTTACAGAGATTTCCGAAGAAAAACCCTTGGGAGGTATTAATAATATTGCAGAGCAGCACAAAATATCGAAGTTTACTTTTTTTTTAAAATTGAACAAGAGAGTTGTTCAATTTTAATACTTTTGAGTTTACTCATAGTTATATTATATTTATTTAGCATTAACTATTATGGATAGTAATTAATTATAGAAATAAAAAGGTAAAAATAAAAACAAAGGTCGCCGCTAAACCGTTAGCATACTTCGCTTACAAAACTGTGTGCATTTTCTTTTGCTTAAAAAACTCTGTACTGTCTATGCTTACAAAACTGTGTGCTTTTTATGCTTACAAAACTGTGAGCTTTCTATGCTTACAAAACTTTGAGTTTTCTATGCTTATAAAACTGTGTGCATTTTATGCTTACAAAAGTGTAGAAAAAGAAATAAAAAAAATTATTTTTGAAAGACAAATTTGTGACCAACGGATTTTAAAAACGAAAAGTTTTCAAGAAAAGAAATTAAATCAAGTTAAAGCAAATATTTTATTTTTTAAGCTGTCTAAAAAAACATAGTTAATTTTAACAGGAAACACTTGTGAAATCATTAATGAAGCTTTTTAGCTTTAATGAAAATAATAATGTAAAAATAGAATATATTTATCTAATTTTTTTAATTTTATGCTTAAAGAAAAAAATTCTTATTTGAAACTTGAAAATAAAAGGTGTGTTTCATCAAAGTGGTAAAAACTGAATAATTCTCTCAGACAAAATTAAAAATTTTTACCACAGTAAGTATTAACAATTTACAGACGAAGTATTAACACTGAAATTCACAAACTGTGAAATACTGTGTTAAATAAACTAACGGTTCATTATTGTGATTTTTTAACAAATAAACATTATTATAATTAACAAAAAAACATCAACAACATGAAAAGATCGTGAATAATAATAGATATATATTTATATACCCTGGATTTCTTGCTAACGACTTTTTCATTTTTGTTAAATTTTTCTTCAGCTTGCTCACTTTTTCGTTATTCTTTAACATTTCAACGTTTAAGCATACACCATTATGTGTAGATTTTGGCCTTACATCTCCACTTCTCTTCATCGATAAGTTTTTTTTCATAAACTTATATGACTCTTCAACGCCAAATTTAGCTGTTGTTTTATCTCTCAATTTATCGATTCCTAAAAGAAAGTATACCATTACAAAACATTTCGGCGGTAATGAGGGTTCAGACAGAACTGAAAAAATGAGTTTTCATGACTTTTACATTCCACAAGTTTCAGTTTTATCATAAAAAACTATTACACTACACTAAACTGCAAGTTAAAAACATAATGGGAATGCATGATGCGAATGCATAATGGAAGGAAAAAGCATTATGGAAGAAGAATACATAATAAAAGGGGAAAGCAAAATGGATGGGGGGAAAGCATATTGGAAGAAGGAAATCATAATGGAACCCTCGGAATAAATTGCAACCCTCGGAATTAGGAAAAATGAGATCGGCAATTTACCGACCTCAATCTTTTAGAGGTCGGCATCAGGTCGGCAAAAATAAGTTGATACAAAAGTCTTACCATAAAACATAGAAACGAGGTCGGCAATATTTTGCCGACCTGAAACATATTCAGGTCGGCAGATAGGTCGGCATTACCGAATGTCGACCCTAATTCCGAGTGTTGAAATTGAGAAGGAAAACATAATAGAAGGGGGAAAACATTATAGTAACAACATATAAATAAAGAGTTTATAATAATTTAAAGAGATTTTTCATTTTTTATAGCAGTTATAGAATATCAGAAAAAACAATGAAAATTATTAATTAAAAAATAATTCTCTTATAAAACTATATAGTATCTACTAAATGAAAACTTTATTTTAAATTTTTTCAAGTTTTTTCAGGTCTGAGTTAGATCTAAAGAGATTTAGGTCTAACTCTCGCAATATTATTAACTGAAGTTGAATAAAATAACAAACCTTTTATACATGTTAAGCTGTTTATTACATCAAACGCGGACTAAAAAAAGCAAAGTCTATTACAAAAAGTTGTAAAAAACTATTTTATAAAAACAAAAAATTATACTAACATTCTCGTTGGAACATATGGGCTTGCCACCCTTTTTTTTTGTTGGATCTTTTATACGCCCTTTCTCTCGCAGTTCAGCAATATAATCAAGACTCTTTCCTGTGAAAATAAATAAAAATTATTATTTGCGCCAAAAGAAAATCAGTTTTAAACTAATTAGTGAATGAATGAAAAATGTTTTTCTTTTTTAATTTTCCATTGAAGACCAATGAAAATATTTTTCTAAACAATAGATTACATGTTTTTTTTAACTTGCATTAAAAAAAATTTTATATTTAATTTTTATGATGTTTTATTAAAGTTGAAATTATACTTTTATTTTTTATTCAAACTAATTTTAAATTTGTTAAAACTTTTACTTAAAAATTATTCAAGAAAAATGATTAAAGATCTAAAAGGAATATTTGTACAAAATATAGAAGTTTTGCAATAACCTGCTGGAAGAAGTCGTATCTCTACTGGATCAACGATTCCTTTACCATTTTTTCCAAGCCCTTTACTAAATTAAACAAAAAATAAAAAGTAAAATACAAAAAGAAAAAAAAAATACCAAAAAGTAAGATGCAAAAATAAATCACCCAAATATGTAACCCATTTTCATCATAAGCTTTGAGCCAATACCCTAAAAATGACAAATAGTTTAATGTAAATAGGAATACAACATGTTTAATGTAAATGGCAAATATCATCAATGATAAGAATTATCACTCAAAACTACTCGAGTATGTTGCTCCCATTCAGCCATTGGACCATTCATTGAAACTCGTTTGTAGGTTAAAGGTTCATCAGATAAGTCTTCAAAAGATTCGTTATCAGAACTTTCAGTAGAACTGGAATCTAAATGTATCAGTAGGTAAGCTATTATATATGTTAATAATAATGTTATATATGTTACATAAGTTTTACGTAACATATATAACATTATACATCATGTATAAAATGTTAAAATATATAAATAAAACCTATATAACATTATATAACATATATAAAATGTTTGGATTAATGTCTAAACATTTTAAAACTCCTACTCAAAGAAGTCTCCAATATTTTGTAGAAAATTCCTTTTAATTTTCTACAAAAGCTATTAACAAAAGCTAAAACCTTTTTACATCAACTTCTTGCTCCATCAACTGAAACTCAATTTCGCATGACTCATCATTAAGCAAAGACGCATATTTTCATTTTTATAAAAGAATCAAACAAATTTTGATTATTTTATGAAAATGAAATTTTTTTAGAAAAATACAATATTTTTAAAGTTATTTTTTTAGAATAATACAAGATTTTTTAAGTTATTTTTTTAGAATAATACAAGATTTTTTATGTTATTTTAGCTCTCCAGTTTTGGTATTTGTTAATCAGTTCTTCAAGAATCAAATGTCATACCTTACTAAAAAAAAAAGTCATGATGGTGACAGTATAAAATCTTTATTGTATTTCTTTGTATTGAAAATAGTTTTTTTTTTTATGTAATGATATTTCTGGTAATTACATTTACCAGAAATATCAAAGGTAAATGTAGTTCTAATTATAGAAGAAAGATTTTACAAAGATAAAACTCTGTAATAAAAAATGTAAAAAGACAGTTTATCTGATAACTAGTTGTTAGTGCTGATCCTCTTTGAAAATAAAAATAGACATCTGGTCTTCATATAAAAATAGACATCTGGTCTTCATATAAAAATGGATTTTTAAAAGATGAAAAGATCTTTTAATTTCTAGTATAAATATCCCAGAAAAACATTTTAACATTAAATAATATTTGGAAAAACTTGAAAAAAATAGAACTCAACAAAGTATGTGACAAAAAGCTTAAATTTACTTTTTGACACTACTTATTGGTTTTTGCTTATGTCTCTTTGTAGGTGGCTATGCAACTCTTCCTGTTAACTCCTAATGAGGGTACAGCTCTAAAACTTGGTTTCTCTAATTGTTTTAATAATATTACCTCTTGCAAAATTCACTTACCTGCTCTTTGTGGACTAACTTTAATTCTATGACAAATGCTGTTAGTCCTTGGAATGTTAATAGCTATTATCCTTTGATTCACAAAAAGCTCAATAGCCATATGCTTGGCCAAGGCATATGGTTATGTATCAATTCATGAATCAGATTAGAATCCTCTGACCATTGAGAGATGCTTTCAAATAACACCATTTCTTCTCTTTTTTCTTTGTTGTTATCCATTGTCTCAAGAATGTACTTCTTCTATGTTGTTTGATAAAATTGACGAAGCCATATCCATCAGCCACTGTAGCTCATTATCAGAACAACCTTAATCACTTACCTTCACTTTTTAATTTGTGTATCTGAACCTAACTTGTGCTCAGTTTCCCTTGTTCACCTTTAGGTAGTTTTTAGCTCAACTCTATGTTGATCTCAACATCTTTTTTTTGTACTTCTTCTCCTGTTATTACACTAAACTTTCTTTTTTATAACTTGCTTTATAATCCTTGGGAAGTCTTTTATTAATAACTAAACATTAAGATTCTTTTTTATAATTTGCTTCATAGTCCTTGGGAAATCTTTTATTTCTGCTGAAAATTGAGTCTCCTTTATAACCTCTTGGATTCAGGCAAGTATGAAAACTTTTATTTCTTCTCATCAATTTTAATTTTCTCATCCTGATACTTTAATGCTTATTACACTGAATGGTTTGGCTCTTGTGTCAGTGACTCTGCAGGCATTAAGGCCAACAACTTTTACCTTTCTCAATCTCTACTTTCGTCAACTTTCCAACTCGCTTTTCAGACAACCCGAATCATTTTACCTTCTTTACTCGACTTATATCTTGTTTCTGATCCTAGTCAGTGCTCAGTTTCTCCACATTTACCCTTAGATTCTAATGAACATGGTTTGATCTCTCTAAAACTATAACCTCATTCTTCTTCATCATCAGAATCCTGCTATCATCGTCTCTCTTACAACTACCTTAAAGGGATCATCCATAAATTACATCATGCATTTTTTGACAGGTTTTAACCTCCCTTCCTCCCCCTCGTCACAAAATTCGAACACTTAAGAAGCAAGTTTTGTATGAGTCATCACAAAACCACCAACTACCCCTCCCCTTATAGCCTGACGTAATTTATGGACAACCCCAAAGCTGACTGAGACTCTTTCAGTGATTTTCTTTGTGATGGTTCTTGGATAGAAATCTTTCAAGTCTGTTATTCCAGCTCTCTTGAATGGTTCAGATTTTGTCACCTTGTCTATAGACAAATCTAAATTGTTTGCTAAGAACATCAATATTATCTCTTGATTGTACTAGTCATGTTCTACCTGATAAAGCTGACAAGCAGGTTGATTGACATTGTTTGATGTTTGTATCACTCCAGCTTCTGTATCTAAAGTCATTTCCTGCTTAGACTCTTCTACAGCTTGAGGTACAACATACCTGTTATAGTCTTGCAGAAGTGTTCTCCAGAGCTGTCGTCTATGCTTTTAAAACTATTTAACAAGTGCTTATCAGAGTTTTGTTTTCTATCAGTAGAGTCTGTTATCCCTATTTTCGAAAATTCTGGATAATGATCTGAATTAATGTTTCTCTAACTATCATCTAATTGTCCTTTTACTATTATAAGCAAGGTTTTTAAAATAACTTAATTAACAAACACTTAATCTCTCTTCTTGAATCTAATAACTTATATTCTGATCATCAATATGGATTTTGGTCTACTCATTCTACTGCTGAATTGTTAATGGTAAAAACTGATAGAATTTATGGTGCATTAGATAGAGGTGGTGAAATTAAGGTTATCGTTCTTGACATTTCTAAAGCTCTTGATAAAGTTTGGCATGCTGATCTTCTCCAAAACTTTTCTTTTTAAGATGTATCATGTAAAATCTTTAAGATTATTGAATCCTTCACTTATCAATCGTAGTATAAAAGTTGTCCTCGATGGTAGCACTTTTCTTAATATTCTGTAACTTAAGGGGATGCTTAAGGTTCTATCCTTGACCCTAAACTCTTTTTAATATGGCCATGGTTATTGTTTGACACCGGATCCCAAAGTAAAATGGCTACTCTTCTAACATACATGCACATACAACCAATTTTTTCTTAGTTGTACGCGCCTATTTAAACATAAGTTATTTTTAATTATTAGACGATTTCACTTTAAATTCTTGTTAAATTTAACTTTACGCTAACAGTCGCGCCTCAAAACAAGAAGATTTTAACACCCATTGCACTGCATCAATATGTTAATTGAACGAAAAATTAAAGTATACAAACATTTTTTGCCTACAAATAAGAGTTCTATTATGTAAACCTTATTTGTACAGGCCTACAAATAATAAATTCATTTAAAAAAAGCAAAAATAATCTTATTATTTTCGCTAAAAAATTTGATTAGCAAACATGCGTATGATTACTGCGCATGTATAATGGAAGAATAGCCATTTTACTTTGGGATCCGGAATCGGAACAATAACCATGGCCTTTTAATATACATTAACAATCTCCCAGAAATTCTCACATTTAAGGTGGTATTGTTCGCTGATGATTTACTGATGACCATTTATTCTTGACTTAAGAAGCCATGATCACCATTTATTCTTGATTTAAGAAGCCAATACTCTCTAATTGCTTGGAGGGGGCTAACTTTTGCTACAGCATGGGCCTCTCAGAGGCTGGCGAACTTTAACTCAGATAAAACTCAATTTTTTCAGGTAATCGATATCACAATAATCTAGATCTTCCTATATTTATGAATGGTAATGTACACAATAAGTCATCAATTCTTCGTTTTCTTGGATTGATCTTTCTTGAAAGCCATATATCAAATCCATTGCAAAACTAGCATCTGCTAAGGTTGCATCTCTTTACCGTGCTCACCCATTTCTTACTCCAGATTCTACTCTTTATCTCTATAAATCTCATATCTGTCCTTGTATGGAATACTGTTGCTATATCTCAGGCGGATCTTCCAATAATGCCCTTTTCCCATTTCGACAAGATGCAAAAAGGTATTGTAACATAGTTGGACCTGTTCTTGCAGCCAACTATGCCTCCAACATTATCAAACCGTTGTAATGTTGCTTCTCTTTCTCTTTATTATAAATACTATAATGAGTACTACTCTAAAGAGCTAGAGTCTCTTGTGTCATCTCTTGTGCCATCTCTTGTGCCACCTCTTGTGCCATCAAATCCAATCTTGTGTTACTCGTCATTCAATTAAGTCTCATCTTTTTACTGTGACTGATCCTAATTGCTTCAAAAACTCTTATTTGTCTAGTTTTTTTACATCAAACATCAGTTCTTTGGAATTCGCTCACATCATTTTGTTTTCTTGATTCATATAACTTGTAATCCTTTAAGTTGTCTGTTAATTATTATCTTGCTCTACATGTTTCTTCTTTTCTTTTCCAGTAACTTCTAACTCTAATTGTGGTAGCTTTCCTTATTGGAAGTGAAAAAAAATAAAAAATAAAAATAGTCTTCTTCAGACATTAAACTTTTAGTCATTAAATCATGTCAACTGTTTTCTTACTCATTAACAATATATTTTGTTTTCTGGTAACTCCTAACTTAAATAGTGGATGCTTGCAATGTTGTTGGAAGTAAGCTAGTTATAAAAAAAAGTTCAGCTGGATTCTAGCAGAAATATCTACAAGGAACAGTGGAATTTATCCTGTTAAAACTTGCATACCCTGTTTAATTGTAAAGCCAAATTCTGCAAATAAAAAAAAAAACTGGCTTAAAAGTTTATTTAATCAGGAGAAAGTGTTTACATCTTTTTCAAAACTTCACCATGAAACCATTACATGGTGTTTTCTAATAACACCAAACATAATACAAAAAACGGAAAGCTTTTATAACAAAAAGCATTTATTATTTTATAACAAAAAGCATTTATTATTTTATAACAAAAAGCATTTATTATTTTATAACAAAAAGCATTTTTTATTTTATAACAAAAAGCATTTATTATTTTATAACAAAAAGCATTTATTATTTTATAACAAAAAGCATTTATTATTTTATAACAAAAAGCATTTATTATTTTATAACAAAAAGCATTTATTATTTTATAACAAAAAGCATTTATTATTTTATAACAAAAAGCATTTATTATTTTATAACAAAAAGCATTTATTATTTTATAACAAAAAGCATTTATTATTTTATAACAAAAAGCATTTATTATTTTATAACAAAAAGCATTTATTATTTTATAACAAAAAGCATTTATTATTTTATAACAAAAAGCATTTATTATTTTATAACAAAAAGCATTTATTATTTTATAACAAAAAGCATTTATTATTTTATAACAAAAAGCATTTATTATTTTATAACAAAAAGCATTTATTATTTTATAACAAAAAGATTTATTATTTTATAACAAAAAGCATTTATTATTTTATAACAAAAAGCATTTATTATTTTATAACAAAAAGCATTTATTATTTTATAACAAAAAGCATTTATTATTTTATAACAAAAAGCATTTATTATTTTATAACAATCTTTTAGTGATTTAAATCAAAATAAAATGATTTGCAATTTTTTTATTTACTCACATATTAACTTCTCAACAAACATCTGGCATCAATTAAGAATAGTTTTTCACTAATAGCAGGAATTTTTTATTTATTTAGTAGAAACCAAGTCTTATATTCTCATTATTTAGTAGAAACCAAGTCTTATATTCTCATTTTTTAACAAGTAGAAAACAAGTCATTTCTTATAGCATCAAAAAAAAGTCATTTTATTATATAACCAGGAGATGCTAATTATATACTTAATATTTAATTTTTTATTTTAACAAGAAGTTTCCAGTTTATTTTTTAATATTTTAAGTAACTTTAATTTTGGTGCTAAAATTTATTTATAACAGTTCAATGTAGAATTTATAAAATTTCCTTTATGTTGTGTAGTCAATCAAAAGTATTATAATATAAAAGTTCGAAAGTACCTTTTTTATGATCTGCAAAATTATTTAATATAAAATTGAATTCAAAAATAATTTACCAGTGGGAAAAATTGAGTGAAAATCTAGTACAAATGTTTTTTCCTTGTCATATGCATCAAATGATACAGTAGCTTGATCATCATGTACTTCTCTGTGAAGTAATTGAAGAAGTTACTATATGAATTAAAAAACACATAAAACAGAATTAAAAAAATGTTTTACCGAACAGTGGCCTTATACCAGATATCATCTTCATATTTAGCTAAGCACTTGTTACCAGTAGAAAGAATACTAAACAAGAAAAGCGATTTACAATGTTTACTTTTTCATAAACAAATTAAGTTTAATATGATAAATAAAAATAAACCTAAAATCAGGCTCTTTATATTCCACAAGATCTTCAAGATTCACAAGATAACCATGGGAATACCTTAATTCAAAAGTTACTTAAAAGTAAATATAATATGCTTAAATATTTTAGTTTTAACCATAAAATAAACAAATAAAAAAAAATAATGCCAAATTAATTTTAAAGTAAATATTTTTTGGCAACAAATTGTTTAATTCTACCTACAATCTTGATCAAAAGTGCATTTGTCATCCATAAAATACTTGCAGGGTAACATTGACTTTTGAATCGGATTTAAAAAAAGTACACGAATCTAAATTAATTATTGTAAAATGATATGAAACAGAACTAAAAAAAAAAAAGTTAAAAGAAACTCTAAAAACAGTTTTATAGAATAATGTACCTTTTACACTATGCCATTTTGTAGGAAATAAAAGAGTGGTGATTACAATAAATTTTTAGTATGTTTTGACCTGATTTTTAATTTTTTCAAAATGTAATTTAATCATGTTTATAATAATGTAACTTAATAATGTTTATATTAAATATATAATACTTTTACAATATAAAATATTAATAAATTATGTGGAGTATTCAATCCTTCTCTGTTTGGTCAGGGCTTTTTTGCTCAAGTCTTTTTGCGCTCACCCACACGCCTGCTAAAACTTTGATGACCACTTAAAAAAGTGCTTGTTAAAAAATAAAATTTTTTGACAAGCATTTTTTTAAAAATTGAAACAAATTCTTTTTGTTTTTAAATTATTTTATGAAAAATTATAAAAACACTTTTACGTTATTATTATTGTTATTTTATATTTATGTTATTTTATAAATTACTTTATTTAGAATTTAAATAAAACTTTTCTGCTTTTATTTTAACTATCATCATCATAATATAATGGAAGAGTGCTAATGCTCATTCGTGAGTGTTTTTACAGAACTTGCGGCAGCCATTAAACCAGAGTTTATGGTGAGAAAGAGCGTAGCACTTCTTTTATTAAAAAAAATGTTACTAAAACTAACTTACGTATATTTATTTTAAAAATTAAATATAATTCAACTACTTTACAAGCAAAAAGGGATTCACAAACAACATGTTTTTAATGAGAACCAAATTAAAAATTTGAATACCATTTAAGTTACATATTTTAACAAAAATGCTTTACATTAATATAGCAACTTTTAAAATCTCTATCTATTATTGCCAAACTTAATAGTGTTAGTAGTAGTGTTAGTGCTCATTCAACGTGTTTGACAAGGAACTCTCGGCAACCTTTGCAACCAAGGTAGTGGCAAGAAAGAGTCGCAGCACTTTGTTTTATAAGAAAACGTGAATGAACGTGTATGCAAATATCTAACGTACATAAACTTCAAATTAAGTAATATTAAAACATACTAAAACATTTATCAAGTTTTACATTTGATTTTCACTTAAAAGTTGCATTGTGCCAAGCTCTCCTTAATTTTGATCTATAACACTTATTTCCATTAAAAAAATCATTATATAGTTTTAAAAATTTTCGTTTAACAGTGTCAGCATGGCAAAGTGGATAGCGCACTGAGTTTCTGACAAGTAAGCCAAGGGTCGAGTCCTACCGATCTAATAAAGACAAAAACTATTTATTACTATTGCAATAAATATAATCTATTATCTGTGAAATAATACCAGTTTTATATATTTTCATGCATTTCTATGCAACATAATCAAAATTAATCAAAAAATTCAAGATAAATGCAAAAGGACTTGACGCATAAAGGTTTATTTTGCCACAAACTGATGCCAATGCGCAAAATTTTTTTGGCTTAACTTTTCGATTAGCATTTAATATTATTCTTTAGTTTTTAACCATAATCTGAATGAATTTTTTTTTATGACTATGTTTTAGTGGTCTAAGATCTTCTTAGTTCTATTTGTATAGCATTTCGTACAAACGTCTGTAAGTGTAAACATCTTCATATGTTGAGCCTGCTGGCATTATATGGAATAATCGTGTATAATATATCTATAAAATGAGAAAACTTTAAAATTTTACTTTAAGTTTTAGAAATCTTATTTTGCTATATTATTATTTTTTTGCTATAAATATATAAAAAAAATTGAAAAAATTTCAAAATTTATTATGCTAAGAGGAGGTCTTAAACCCCCCAAAACAACACTGATGACAACACACTAAACCACTCTCAATGAAATGCATTTAGCAAAAAAACAAACCTAATTATAAGTCTCTTATAAGCTATACGTATGGGGAAAAGGTGCGCATGTTAATTTTTTTTTGCTCCTAAAGTTTTTTTTCAGAACAAAATTATTAAAAAAAAAAATTGAAGTAAATAAGGAATAGCTATATAAATAGTCAGTGTGGAATAGATATGTATAGAAATGGTAGGTTTGGTAAAGACCTGTATTTTACGGATCCTCAACATGATCACTAGATCATCGACTATGAGCTAGTGGTTTGGCTTTTAAATCTGTATTTACTATTAAACCTTTATAAATCTCCAAAATATCTCTAAATCTGCCTATTATCATTATCAATAATAATATAATTATAGAATATACGTTTATTTATAAATAGTAAGTAATTTTTTAAATGTTTTTAGAATTATTAAAGTTTATTTGTTCAAGATGTTAGGCAATAAACCATGTTATATTTTGTAGATAATGTATTGAAATTGTTGATAATGTATTGAAACCTTAACAAGCTGTTTATATTTAAAGAAGCTGATGATGACCATATTTTAAATAAAAGTTTTTTTATTTTTTTTTTCTAATTTTTTGTAGTTATTTTAGGTGCTCGCAGAAGTCCTTACGATCTTATCATAGAGCACCTTGGGAGAGCATTTAAAGTGAAGTTCACGCCTCCTTCCATACCAATGTCACTTGTTGTGCTAAAGCTGGCGTCGAACCTGGAACCTCTTGGTTCTGAGCCAGAACTCTAACCACTGCGCCATGGCTGCTCAAGTGATTTTTTATTTTTTGTTGGTTTTATATAATTTTATGTTAGATGATCGATTATGTTTTAATATGAATATAATTAATTAGTACAGTGTTATTGCCAGGTGGTGATAATGATTATAGTGTTATTGCCAAGTGGTGATGATGATTATACGTTTGATTTTATAAAGTTTATTTTACTTTTAAAAACTTTATAAATGCTTTTTTGTTTTGTTTTTATTTCAACAAATTATTTTCTTTAATATGTTGAAATTTGAATAACAATGTTTTAATTTATATTTTTATTTTTAGTGCCACAGCTAATGCCAAGTCGAAGGTTTTAATTAAAATATAATTTATCTATACTCTTTGCTTAACAGTTTGTATTTATCTTAATGTTATGAAGTAACACAACTTATGCAGTATTTTAAAATTAAATTTGTTTGATTAGTTGCTAAGTTTAAGTTGTAGTTTGTTAATTTTTATCTTTAGATGATAATAAAAACAACAATAAACTGCCAAAGTTTTCAATAAATTATAATTTTAAAATCTTAAATGCATTATATTTTTTTAATCAATATTTTGAATGAAATCAAAAATAAAAAGTTTCAAACTTGATTTGATGATATGAAAATTTAATGACTTTATTATTTCTTATGCAAGATTTGTTGCTCATTATAAATTAAATTGTAATACTTTAACCTTATTTTATTGTCTATTATATCGATGACTTTAAATTTTACTGAAAACTTCACTTTCCATTTTTTGTTAAATTAATTCATGATACTAACAACTCTCAGTAACTAATTTTTAAGATCCTTATCTTCAAGTACGTAAGTTTATATTACAGTTAAGTTTATATTACAGTAGTACGTAAGTTTATATTACAGTTAAGTTCCTTATCTTCAAGTTTATATTACAGTTAAGTTCCTTATCTTCAAGTTTATATTACAGTTAAGTTCCTTATCTTCAAGATAGACCTTATTTTGAAGATAAATAAAATAAAATAAAAGCAACTACTTTTTTTTTTCACCGGGCCTATTAAAACACAGACTTAATTTCACAAAAGGTTAGTACAGATAATAGTCTAGAATATGTAAACATATAAATATCTACAACAGCTTTATTAAAAAAATAAAGTGTAATGTTTATTTACTTCTAAAAGTTTCATGCGCTAGAAATCATCTGGTAAAAAATACATTATATTTTTTCTTTATAAATATTTTCTTATTATACAAAAATACAAAAAAAAAAAAAAAAAAAAAAAAACTTCTTAATATAGTTAACCCTATAAATATATCTCATATATCTTATTTTTATCAGTAAATTTTTAAAAAGTTTAAAAAGCAAGAGAGTAAATAATTGTCAAGGTAAAGTTAATTAAATTTTTTTAATGTTTTAAATTAGAAGGATCATATATTTAATAATAAGTTTTGTTATATTTTGTTTACAAATTTTTTTTTAAACTGGTTTTTTTAAATCATGTTTTTATTATATACCTTTTTTTTTCTTTTTTTTTTTCCTTCTTTTTTCCCCCTATAAATATGGTATTTTTTGTTTAACTCTAAATATTATTTATTACAAACATTTCTACTTTTTATTATTGTTTTTTTATTTCTTTAGTTCTTCCTTGGTTTCAATTACAAGTTTATTTTGTCTACTGGTCAAATATGATTTTAACTTAGTAAATTTTAATGATTTTAACTATGTTGATCATTAGCGAATAGTTTAAAAAAAAATCAATTTGTTGAAATTAAGATATATTTTATATTATGTTAAAAAATCATAGCTTTTATGCAATAAAATCTAAAATTAATTTTTATTTCAAAGTTTTTTATACAATTTTGTTTCTTTTAAGACCCAACATGATATACTTTTGAAAAAATATTTTTTAATAATTTTTGATAATATTAGGAACCAAAGCTGTGGCTAGGCTACCCGAAACTCCTAATAGGGGAGGGGGGAGGTTAAAAATTTAAACATATATTGTTAAATTTTTTTTTCCATGTAAATCTTTAATTCACATTGTTGCTACTAATAAATATTTTTTTTAATATTTACTAAAATATGAATGCTGAAAGTGAAAAAAAAACTTTTTTATGTAATTAAAAGTTCTAATATTTTAAAGAACGCAAACTTAAGAGTAATGACATCAGTAGAACCGCAAATGGTTATGAATATGTTTTTGGACTTGAAGAAAAGCCTTATTTTTGGAACAAAACACATTATTTAAAATACAAAACTTAAAACTTTTTTTAGTATTTGAAGAGATAAAAAAATTAGATACCATGTCTTCTTATATGACCAAGACTTTCCCAACATGCTTTTTTTAGTTTTTTGCTTATTTAGGTCATTTACCATGCTTTTTTTAGTTTTTTGCT